AATCGGGCCAAGTCTTTTTCTTGGCTTGGTAGCTTTAACACTTGCGACCGCGCCAATTCCCGCTACTTCTCATTCTTCCATCCTATTCATGATAGTTGTAAGGCGACGCTTCTCAGGACATCCTCTAATAAAATGAGGACCATCACAGAAGTAGCACTTCAATTTTTCATTGCTCCCCTTCTTCTTTACACAGGACTTAGCCTTGTCATTCTTTCCCGACGACTTTCCTTGGCTACGAACAGTTTATGGCTCACTTTGGCCATTCGAAGAGCTTTCTCTACCATCTCCCCGCTGCACCTTTTCCCGGTCTCCACCACTGTTGCCACTATCTCTGGGCATGGGCCTGGACTACACATCGCTCATTCAGCTTTCCGGCTACAACTATGGCCTCCGAAAGTCTCTGGGCATCTCCTTGCTCTCCCCCGAGCATTGCCCCTTATCTAAGTCCTTCCAAGAAAGTCTTCAGCGCACCTCATTAACTCATTGCTCCCTTGCATATGAGCAGCTCCCTCTTGAGCTCATCCACTTTGTTTCTCAAAGTCATCGCTCCAACTCGAATTTGGCTTCTTTTGGATCTTTTCTAACAATTCTTGCGAACCACAGTGTATTAGAACACCTCTGTTGACAAACTCATATCGCCGACAAAATTTTACTATTCACGAAATTCAATATTCATGTGAATAGTAACCTCGCAGAAAAACCGACAAAATTAACAACCAAAAACTCTGATATCAATTGTTGGGAAATAAACGAGTAATTTCCCTATAATCAGATTAGTGAGAATGCGAAATAAAAGCAGAAAAATAATACCCGAAATTGATAACGGAGTTCGACCAATTATGCCTACGTCTACCTACGTCTCTAGACTTCTGCAGATCTTTTACTAAAGAGAGAAAATTTACAGGTGTTTACAAAATACTCACAATAAAACTTTCTAAACTCTTTAGTATTGGAAGAAAGATATGATTTGAGATGATTTTAAAGCTAAATGGGTTAAGGTATTTATAGTTAAAGCTTAAGAACTAATCTTGTAAATACCCTAAAGTGTGCATGAACTAAATTGCAATTATCCCTATTTCTATTTTCAACAAAGATTGGGCACTGAAAAATTGGGCACCGAATTCGGTGCCCCCTGCCCCCCTTTTTGACCCATTCAGTCTCCCTTCTTGACTTTCAAGTTTCAACATACCTTTGTCACCAAAACTAATCCTTCCAATTCCATCACTTCCAAAACACATAGAGAAGGAATTAGCTGTTAAACCTTCCTGTGATAAAATGCTAGGAACTGCTATCTTCTCCATGCCAAGCCCAAATAAACCATTGGGAGCTGCAACATCGAGGAATGAACCGCTCTGTACCCGCCCACAGCTGCACAATTCATATTGCATTTTCATCTGAACCTAGACAAGAGTCGGGAAACAAATATCGGCCTACACAAAAGGTATACTTGGTAGTTAAGATGAATATTAAGAGAGCTTACCAAGCGTGACGTATGCCTCAACCAACTGTGGATGATCATCTCCGGTTGTCAGGTGAAGAACATCCTCCAGTAGAACCCCAGAAGTAGAAGTTTGAGCTGACATGTAAGACACTATGTATGGACAACTACTGAATGTTCCGAGACATTGGTTACGGTGTGCACACAAGCTACTGTTGCAGGTGACTCTTTTGCTAGTGGATGATCCTTTCGGGTCATATATGCTAAGCTCGAAATCCTGGCAGCCCAAAAACAGATGCATAGTTTAATATGAATTCAAGGACAAGAACTGATCACCACACTAGCTGGATAAACTATAACCCCACTCAAGCTTTTCCCAATAACCCAATGTAGCTAAATTAGAGCATGCGAATTCTAGATTGAACAAAAACGCATCGAGTGCAAAATTTTGCTATAGAGCTGCATTTGTGGGGACAATTCAAGTACATTCTCTTGAGTTTCAATCAGGCACATCAAGAAACACATGCAAATTCACAATATGAAGGAAAACAAAAAGAAGAAAACATACAGAAGCATAAGTAGTTCCTTCAGTTGGAGCACATTGGGTACAATCGCATGGCACCCAGAAAAGATCACTCCCTGTATCAAGTGCAACCATGAACTTCACCCCAGGAGTCCCTAATTTCACTGTGGTATAATGCAACTGTACCAAAAAAACAAAAACTTTATAACAATGCCCTAAATTTGAACTTCAAAGAAAATACAAAAAAAAAGGTGCATAAAGATCATTTAAAATCCCAATGAGCTGATTCGGAAGGTGGAGGAGGCATCAGAGAAAGAAAGGGTTGCATTGTTATCAGAGAGTTTGCAGCCGCGGAGGAGGCGGTCCCGGTGAGCTAAAACGGCGTAGTACTCAAAAGAGCCCTTTGCAGGCCAATGAGAGAGTTTGCCAGTGGAGTTGGACCAGTTCTTGACGGATTCAGAGAAAAGGTGGTGCATCTTGAAAGTGAAGATGCGGCCATAGCTGAGGTTGAAGCTCAAGACCCAGAGGAAAAATACAGTCTTTAAGGAAGAAAACATTTTCCTCTAACCATTGTTTCAGGTGAATACAAGTGGATCATCCACAAAGATTTGCATTTGAAAGGAAAAAAAATGGAAACTGAAGGGGAGAAAAAAAGATTGGATTTTGGATATTGGGTTGCTCTAGTATTTGGAATCTGTTGCGAGGGTATGAACTATGAAGAAAGGTTTCAGTCTTCTTGTTTGTTGGTACAGTGGAGGTGAAATGTGGACAGGGGTGGGGCCTAGCTTTCTTCTATTGTGTGTGTGTATATATATGCGACAGTTAAGGAAGTTAAATTCGAGTATAGAAATGAAACAAAATTTAGAAAAACGAAAGATGATGAAAATGTTTTTATGTACAAGAGATAATGAAGTCCATTTCAGCTCATAATATTTACAACAACAACAAAAACAAAGACTAAAGACCCACCACCATTATAGATTTTTGCATAGTGGTGTACTAAAGAGGCTTAAAGCTACCAAAAAATCTCTGGAAAGGGTAGTTCCATCCATCCAGTGCAAGAGATGCCCATGAAAAAGGGTGGTGCAATGTCAAGCAGGAGAAGCGGAGTGGATGCCAAATTTGTCTGAAAGATTGGTTCTGGTGAAGGGTGAGAGAAGCTCCATTTGATGAACGAAGTGGACGTCGTGAACCAAAGGGTTGCCTGTTCTTCCCGGCGGTGACCCTGCGTAACAGCTCGGCCAACACCCCGTGCATGCTCCATCGTTTTTCTGAGTTCATATGTCGGTATTAGAAGAATGAAATCCCTCTGATTTATATATCTCTAAACACACAGACATGTTATGGTTTGAGGAATGAAATACTAACCTTATCATCAATCATGTTCAGAACTCCACTTCTCCCATCAGTATTCTGTTGGCTGTTCATCACATGGGACATCAAATTAGTTAAGTCCAAATAATTAATGGTGTAAACTATTACAATTAAGATACTGACATGAATTCCTTTTTAACTGTTTGGACTAATTAGAAACCTGATAGAAGTAGACGAATCAAATTATAACAGATAAAATGACTAAATACCAAATTTGAGCATTGTAGAGGGACCAAAATAAAAACTTTTACCCCGTTTTAGGATGAACAAAGGGAAAAAATAGAGGAACTCGGCAAGAAGAAGGAACTAGCACCTTGAAATAAAAAAATATAAAAAGAGAGGAAAGAGTGAGAAAAACATGGGAATGGGAGTGAAGCAAAGCTACCTGTGCTTGGTACATTTGAGGGGCTTGAGAAACTCGGGAATGGGAGGTACAACGCGGCGAGGTTTGGGGCAAAGGGGCTGCTGCTGCTGCTGCTCATAGCTTCCAAACCCCAACTTGGTGGTGTCTGAATCTGAATCCACAAGCTTGCATTTAACTGGTAAATGCTGCTGCATGATTCTCTCTCTTCCAAGTCACAAGAAAAGACACACAGTGACTTTTGTCTTCTTTGTCTGATTGTATTTGTATTAATTAGTCTCTCATTCAATGGGGAATGGGAAATAAATGGAGGAAGAAAACGTGGTTTGATATAAAGACGAGAGAGTGAAGAAGGCATTTGTTAGACTAGTTGGCATTTTGATCTCCTAGTTTTCCTCGGTTTCTAATTTATGCCTACAAATAATTTCGTCCAAGTTTCCTCACCCCAAGAACTTTTCTTCCCTCCCATTTCAGGATTGTTTCACAAATTCTCTCTGTCGCATACACTCTTTGCTTTTTATAGAATTGTTATCTCAAACAAACTCACGTTTTCTGCATGGCCAACTTTTTCCCGCTTCAAATCTTTCTTTTTGCCAAATATATGTATAATCATATACTGTAAATGATATATATATATATATATATATATATGCCCTCTTTTCCATTGTTTACACAGCTCAAAACGTCAGAACAACAAAGAGATGTTCATTAAATTACATGAATGCTATGGATCTCCAAACTTGTATATGGTGCGACGTAAAGAGAGAAGATTACCACCTTGCTTCCGATCTTACAATTTATTTCTTTTGTTCAGACAAGAATATTTCATTGATTTGTAAAATCTTACAAAAGTAAGAGAACCGACATGATCCCAGTACAATGAAAAAATAAACAAATCAAGGAAACTATATGAACATTTGACTAAGCATTAAGTTGTATACTTCAAATGGACATCAAATGTTTGACTGACATGGAGAACATCCTTGAAAACATGAGTCAATTACACAATGTAAGATTAAAAAACTTTACATTGATTTAAGATCATTAACATAAATGAAAATACACACGAGTCAATTACACAATGTATGACTAAAAATTTTACATTAATTTAAGATCATTTGAAAAATATTCACCGAAGAAAAAAGTCTATACTCATCCAATAATCTTAAATAATGTAAAACTAAAAAAATCTTTTATATTGTGTAAGTGAATCCTAACCCTTCTCCCTATCTTAACCCCACTCTCTTTATTTATATATATATATATGGGGTGGGGTTGTGGGTCAATAATAATAATAAACGCTTATGCATTAAAAACTTCATTAGAAAAGGCCATCGTGGTACACTACACAAATGTTGAAATAACTAATAGAACCGTCAAAGTCTTAAATCATATGTATCCCAATCGAATCTAGGTAGTGAGAAAAGCTCATAATCAATGGGTCCATCTATAATGCTGTCTATATTTTGCATGCCTTCCAACAGGGCTGGTTGAAAACTATCATTCTTAGAAGGCAACAGTTTGTAAATTACTAGCAATCCCAGAGTAAATATGGCTTGCAGCTTTGTGGAGTCTCCTTTCACTGAAAAGAACAGAAGCATCGAGAGGAGGAACAAATTGAGGCAAAACCGCATGATACACAATACCGTATCCATAAGCCTTCCATCATTCCCAGCAGGAAATCCACGGACTCTATACACAAACAGAAAGTTGTACTTATCAACCACATACCTATATCCAAAATAGACTGCACCCACTGGCACCACAATAGGAGCAAAGCACGAATATATCAAGGTCAGGGAAAATATTGTCAAATTAAACGCATAATACTGTGCAAAGTCGAACGTCTGCTTGGGTATAGGCGACGTCCGGCTGCTAATAGGATAGACTGAAAGATCCTGTCCCTGAATGTCAATTCCACCCATCGTAGGAGAGTCGAATAAACTCTCTGGCAACAGTGGTCTCCGCAAATTATTCAGGTTCTGATTTTCTAACAGGTACTCCTCAATATTCTCAGGGACCAACTGGAGCATGTCATTCTTCCGAAACTTCTGAAGCTTCTTCTTTATCCAAGGAACTGGAGCCAGCAGATCATATGATATTCCCAAGAATGTACTTGTGATTAGAAATGCAAGAGAAGAAAGGCAAGACCTTGAAAGGAATGATGCACTCATGTACTGCTCAATTCTCTTGCAGTCTTCTCCATCCAAATAGCATCGACCCATCCGAAGGATTGCACTCTCCAATGATGACTCAACAAGAGCCTTCAGTAGGATCAAATTGACAAGGAAGAAGCAAACCATCTTTAGCAATGCTGCTCTCTGCTCACCGGATACCGTGAGATGCCGTTCAAACTTGGAAAGATGGGAAAGAACTGAAGGGACAATTATATACATGCTAACAAATATAAGTACATTGGGCAAAAACTGAAAGATTAGAGATGCCATCCAGCTTGAACTTTGCACCCAAGCCAACCATGACTGTGCATGATCAATTGCTTCTGCGTTAATAATCCGAGCAGCACTCTGCACAGCAGTGATTACTGCAAGCGGAGAACTGAAAAACAAAAGCATCAACAACAAACACATGTTCACAAACACTCTTCGCAGTTTCAGTGACAATTTTGTTGATCCCAAATGGTTCCAGTAAATATCAGTGGCCAATGGGGCTCGTTCAACTTTCCATTGGTTCCTCTGCAACTTTAGTTCCATGACAGAAAAAAACTTCCCAAACCGCCTCTTTTTCTCATTCTGAAAATCTTGAACTGCTTTATTTGCAGTATATACATCCTTAAACATCACAAAAGCAACTCCAGCACCCTGCGCATTTCCTTCCTTATAAGCCGCTAATTCGGTCTCCAACTTGGCTCTCAATTCTTGCAGCTTTTTTAATTTTTCTTCATCTGTAAACCCAAATTTACTCATGATCTGATCGAAAACACGTTGGATTGTCCTCCACAACCAACGGATCCAACCCAAAAACCCTTCACATCCGTTCATATCATCTTCACTTTCTTCTGGCAGAAGAAGCGAATCAATTTTCGCAATCAACCAGGTAATTTCATCCCTAACCTTAACTACTTCAGTGGCTAAATCATCCAATGCACATAAATCCATAGGAATAATTACCCTGTATACTTTCCCTGGATATTTATACTGAAAATACTCGAGCAAAATACCTTTATCAACCCCTAGATTCTTAGGTAAACCCTGAACCATGATTGTAAAAATCGCCGTTGAATTGGAATTGGGATCACTTAAATTTCCATTACCATCCCTAAACCTAGTAATTCTTAATCTTTCTTCGATGGCAGACATTCCATAATGGAAAATAATAACAACAAGAAGTACGAAAATGAAATGTACCCAAAGTAACACTGAACCCTTACTAATATGACTTACAGTTGTTTTGGAGAACTCATCCCCTAATACAGCAGTGCCGCCGTAGAGATTTACGGGGAGTAATACGAAAACAGCCAAAACGGCAACAGATAAGAGAACGGAGAAGCTGCCACCTTCGATTAAGAGGTATTGGGCGGCATCAGCTCCGCAGTGGCGGGCAATCTCACGGCCGGTAGCGTGCCAGACGGAAAGGAGCTTAGAGAATAGAGCGGAGGGTCCGGGGAGACGGCGATGATCGCTGCGGAGCTTGAGGAAGAGGAAGATGAGGACGCAACAAAGGAGGCCGATGGTTGAAATGTTGAGGAGATATTGGATGTTGCCATACCACGCTCCGTCTATGGGGAAGTCTTCGTCAGATGAAGGGGAGGGCGGAGGAGGAAGCGTGTCGTCCATCGGAGATTTGACGATAGAAGAGAAATTAGGGATTTGGTTATCGGATTTTGGGGGTTCGATTGGGGGAAGGTAGACTTTTGTCGTTTTGTTGTTTCGATTCCTCTAAATAGTTGTGGGTGTGGAATTTAGTTATAGGACAATTATGAGATATTTATTGTACTCTGTAATTCAGCAGTTGTAATGTAATGGGACATAAACATTATTAAACTAAATAGATGATTATTTATTATATTTTCTTTTTATATTTATATACTTTTATTCATTCAATTCAAAAAATATATATTCTAATTGGGTAAATTATACGTTTACTCACTAAACCCTACTTTCTCTCCTATTTTACTCACCGTACCTTCAATTCTTCAATTTATAAGTTGAACTTTAGACATTGAATTTTTTGATCACTCAACCTTTAAATTTCTAACGACTTTATGACATGACAAAATTAAATTATTTTTTAAATCATGATTTTTCATGTCATAAAGAAAGAAAATTATTAAAATTAATGGTAAATGAGATACTCTTCCTCGTGGTATTACTGTGGACACCCTGAATCCCCACCCTCGCCCTCACTAGCCTTATCCTCATCTTCACCGACATCAACGACTCGTTCCTTCCTTTTCAACCATTCTTTAACCATCGAACTATGCCTCATCTGTCATTTATGCGCGACCCATAAATCTAATGTTGAAATTATTAAAATGGTTTTCAAGTTTGGTAACCAACTTTGAAAAAATGGTTTTCAAAGTTTGGTAAATGTTTCTTTGAAAATGGTTTTCAAAGTTTGGTAAATGTTTCTTTGAAAAATAGTTTTTCAAAGTTTGGTAGATGTTTGTTGAAAATGATAATGGGATAATCACAATTAATCCCTAGGCTTTAGGGTATTTACAAGATTAAGTCCTTAAGTTTCAACTATAAATACCCTAGCTCATTTAGTTTCAAAACCATCCCAAAAATCATTTCTTTCACCCAATACTAGAGAGCTTTCTTGTGAGTAGTGAGTGTTTTGTAAACACCTGTAATTTTTCTCTCTTAGTAAAAGATCTGCAGCAGTCCGGAGACGTAAGCACAATTGGCTGAACTCCGTTATCAATTTCGGGTATTATTTTTCTGCTTTTATTTCGTATTCTCACTAATCTGACTATAGGGAAATTACTTGTACTTGGTTTATTTCCCAACAACTGGTATCCGAGCTTTTTTTTTGTGAATTTTGTCAATTTTTGCGAGGTTACTATTCATGTGAATAGTGAATTTCGTGAATAGTAGAATTTTGTCGGCGATACAAATTTGTCGACGGAGGTGTTCTAATACACGGTGGTTCGCAAGAATTGTCAGAAACGATCCAAACGAAACCAGATTCGAGTGTGAGCGATGGCTGCAGACGAAGGGAAGGTGAAAATTGAAAAGTTCGATGGTGCGGACTTTGGCTTTTGGAAGATGCAGATTGAAGATTTTCTGTACCAGAAAAATCTATATCAACCTCTCTCAGGAAAACAACCAGAGGGCATGAAGAATGAAGACTAGGCTCTTCTCAACAGATAAGCCCTCGGAGTTATTCGACTGACGTTATCCCGCAATGTTGCTTTCAACATAGCAAAGGAAAAGACCACGGCGGGTCTTATGACGGCTCTCTCCAGTATGTATGAGAAGCCATCAGCCTCAAACAAAGTTCATTTGATGAGGCGATTATTTAATTTGCGGATGACGGAAGGGGCATCGGTGGCACAACACCTAAATGAACTCAACACAATCACAACCCAGTTGAGTTCAGTGGAAATTGAATTTGATGATGAAGTTCGAGCTTTAATTCTCTTATCATCTTTACCAGACAGTTGGAATGCTACTGTTACAGCAGTCAGCAGTTCATCGGAAAACAGCAAATTAAAATTCGACGATGTTCGGGATCTGGTACTGAGCGAAGAAATTCGACGGAGAGAATCGGGTGAAGCATCAACCTCCTCAGCCTTGCACACGGAGTCCAGAGGGAGAACTTCATAAAGAAATTCAAATTGTGGCAGATCGAAATCCAGAAGGGGAAAATCAAGAACAGGAAATAAAGATTTTACATGTTATAATTATGGCAAGAAGGGCCACTTCAAAAGAGATTGCCGAGCACCAAAGAAAAATACCGGTGCACAAGAATCTGCCAACATGACGGAGGAGACAGGTGATGCTATGATTTTAAGCATCAACAATCCGATTGAATCATGTATTTTGGATTCAGGGGCATCTTTCCACTCCACGCCATGCCAAGAAATCATTGAGAACTATGTCAGTGGTGATTTTGGGAAGGTTCATCTTGCTGATGATGAAACCTTGAAGATCGTCGGAAAATGAGACATCCGACTAAAGCTGCCAAATCAGACCACCTGGAAGCTGACAGGAGTGAGACATATTCCTGGTCTCAAAAGAAATTTGATTTCTGTAGGACAGCTTGATGGAGAAGGATACAGTACAACCTTTTCAGGCTGTGAATGGAAGATTACCAAAGGAGAACTCATCATTGCTCGTGGTAAGAAGACTGGTACTCTCTATGTAACCTCAAATTTAGAGAATATCATTGCAGTAGCAGATGTTGATGGAAAATCAAACATATGGCACCAAAGGCTTGGCCATATGAGCGAGAAAGGAATGAAGATACTTCTATCAAAAGGGAAGTTGCCGGATCTAAAGAATGTAGATGTCGGACTATGCGAGGATTGCATCTCTGGAAAACAAAAGAAAGTCAGTTTTGCAAAAATTGGCAAGACACCCAAGGCAGAAAGGTTAGAATTGGTTCATACTGATGTATGGGGACCATCCCCAGTTCCATCTCTTGTAGGCTCGCTATATTATGTCACCTTCATCGATGATTCAACAAGGAAGGTGTGAGTTTATTTTCTGAAGAAGAAAACAGAAGTCTTCGATACCTTCAGAAAATGGAAGGCCATGGTGGAAAATGAGACTGGTTTAAAAGTCAAGCGGTTGAGGTCTGACAATGGAGGAGAGTACAGAGATAGTAGATTCAGATATTTCTGCGCAAACAATGGGATCAAGATGGAGACAACAGTTCCCATAACACCGCAGCAGAATGGCGTAGCAGAGCGCATGAATAGAACTCTGAATGAACGTTCCAGAAGTATGAGGATACATGCCGGATTGCCCAAATTTCTATGGGCTGAAGCTATCAACACTGTAGCTTACCTGATCAACCGTGGGCCCTCAGTTCCTTTGGATGGCGGAATACCAGAGGAAGCTTGGAGCAAGAAAGAAATAAACCTTTCACACTTAAGAGTGTTTGGTTGTATTTCTTATGTACACATAAACTCTGCTGAAAGAAGTAAACTTGATGCCAAGTCCAACAAATGCGTATTTGTTGGTTACGGTGGTGATGAGTTTGGTTACCGGTTTTGGGACTACGAAAATCGGAAGATCATTAGAAGCAGAGACGTCATTTTCAATGAAAATGTGATGTACAAAGACAGGTCAACCGCATAATCAAGTAATACCGAAGCTGAAAAAAAGGAATTTGCTGAGTTCGAGGAGATTTCTGGAAATGATGTTCAGATCAGTCCTGAAGCAGTTCAAGAGGAAGAACCAGGCACACCAGAACTGAGACGCTCCTCCAGAATTCCTAAACCAACCCAGCGGTATTCTCCTTCTTTGCACTACTTGTTGCTGACTAACAATGGTGAACCAGAGTGCTATGATGAAGCAATGCAAGTGGAGGATTCAGTCAAGTGGGAGTCTTCCATGAAAGATGAGATGGACTCGCTTATGTCAAATCAGACATGGGAATTAGCTGAATTACCACCAGGAAAGAAAGCGCTCCATAACAAGTGGATTTACAGGATCAAAGAAGAGCACAATGGGAGCAAACGCTATAAAGCAAGATTGGTTGTCAAAGGTTTTCAACAAAAAGAAGGTATTGATTACAATGAAATTTTCTCTCCAATCGTGAAGCTATCTACAATCATACTGGTGTTGAAAATTGTAGCTGCAGAGAATTTACATCTTGAGCAGTTAGATGTAAAGACAGCTTTCCTTCATGGTGATTTGGAGGAAGAAATCTATATGAGGCAGCCAGAAGGCTTCATAGAGGTAGGCAAGAAAAACCTGGTATGCAGGTTGAAGAAGAGCTTGTATGGTTTAAAACAAGCTCCTAGACAGTGGTACAAGAAGTTCGATAGTTTCATGAGTAGCAGTGATTTTACCAGATTTCAAGCAGATCATTGTTGCTACATCAAGAGGTTCGACAATAGCTTCATTATTTTATTGTTGTACGTTGATGACATGCTCGTTGCAGGCTCAGACATGCAAGAGATTATAAACTTGAAGCAAAAATTGTCAAAGCAGTTTGCTATGAAGGATATGGGCGCTGCCAAGCAGATTATTGGGATGAGGATCAAGAGAGACACAAAGTCGGGGACTTTGATATTATCACAGGCTGAGTACATCAACAAAGTACTCTCCAGGTTCAACATGCAAGATGCTAAACCAGTAAGTACACCTTTAGGTGTTCATTTCAGACTCTCCAAAGAACAGTCACCAAAGACGGAGGAAGAACGTGCACGCATGGTGAAGGTGCCGTATGCCTCAGCAATTGGAAGTCTGATGTATGCCATGGTTTGTACCAGACCAGATATTGCTCAAGCAGTGGGAGCTGTTAGCAGGCACATGAATAATCCGGGCAAGGTACACTGGGAAGCAGTCAAATGGATCCTCAAATATCTGCGGGGGTACCACAAACAAAACACTTTATTTCAAAGGTGGAGATACGATACTGACAGGCTATGTAGATGCTGACTTAGCCGGAAATGTTGACATCAGAAGGAGCACTACAGTGTATGTCTATACTCTAGGAGGAACCGCAGTGAGTTGGGTTTCTCAACTACAGAAGATAGTTGCTCTCTCCACAACTGAAGTAGAATATGTCGTTGTTACGGAAGCCAGCAAGGAGATGGTTTGGCTCCAAAGTTTCTTGGAAGAGTTAGGCAAGAAACAAGAAAACAATGTCTTGTATTGCGACAGTCAAAGTGTTATACATCTAGCAAAGAATCCGTCTTTTCATTCCAGGACAAAGCACATACAATTGCGATATCATTTTATTCGATCTCTTCTGGAAGATGGG